AGTCCACACACACTTCATAGACAGACTTAAAAATATAGAGATAAAACGCTTGAAACAGCGAAAAAACACATGTGTTTTACTGCAAAGATGTGCTGCTTAAATATTATGAAATATGATTAAATGAACAGATGAGTCGTTGTTGTCACTTTTAGTTTTGTATTTATTCATTAAACCTTATTTAATAAAGTCTTTAATAAAGTGTTTGTCGTGATCACGTGGTGCTGGAGCCTCCTCCTCCCTCTGTCCCGCGTGTCTCAAACCCACTGATTATCGGCTCATGTTTAGGGAAATCTCCTTCACCAGTCACTTTACCTGCTCCTTTTATGGTGAGGTGGAGGTGTGAGGGGGCGTGGTCTGTCCTTTTATGGTGAGGTGGAGGTGTGAGGGGGCGTGGTCTGTCCTTTTATGGTGAGGTGGAGGTGTGAGGGGGCGTGGTTAGGTTGCAGGTTTGGTGCGTGCGGTGGGTTTTCTAAGTGTGGAGTTTGTGGCGCTCGCCTCTCGTAGCTACAGACGTACGCATTAACTTACGACAACGCCTGCGCAGGTTTTATAAATGAGGCCCCAGGACTCTAACCACAGTCTGCAACAGAGAGAGAGGAATCGAACCCACAACCTCCACCCAGTGACATCACACTCAGGTCAGTGAGGGGGCGGAGCCACGTACCTTTACACCTGTACCCCTGTTTGATGATTCCCCAAAGCTGCAACAGAAAATAGAAAATATTACACAGCAGTAGTAGTAGTAGCAGTAGTAGTAGTAGTAGTAGTAGTAGTAGTAGTAGTAGCAGTAGTAGTAGTAGTAGTAGTAGTAGTAGTAGTAGTAGTAGTAGTAGTAGTAGTAGTAGTAGTAGTAGTAGTAGTAGTAGTAGTAGTAGTAGTAGTAGTAGTACTCACGAAGCCGGCGCAGTGCTCGCAGAACGTTGGTCTCATGTAGGTGATCTCGGTGAAGTTGTGGAGGAACCCGGGACTTTTCTTCTTCTGCAGCAGAGGCAGAGCGCGCAGGAAGTACGCCTCCATCTCCGCCCGACTGATCCGACCGTCTCTGCAACAGAACCACGAGAACCCGACCATCAGAACCACCGAGAACCCACCCATCAGAACCACCGAGAACCACCGAGAACCCACCCATCAGAACCACAGAGAACCACCGAGAACCCGCCCATCAGAACCACAGAGAACCACCAAGAACCACCGAGAACCCGCCCATCAGAACCACAGAGAACCACCAAGAACCACCGAGAACCCACCCATCAGAACCACAGAGAACCACCGAGAACCCACCCATCAGAACCACAAAGAACCACCGAGAACCCGACCATCGGAACCACCGAGAACCACCGAGAACCACCGAGAACCAGCCCATCAGAACCACAGAGAACCACCGAGAACCCGACCATCAGAACCACAGAGAACCACCAAGAACCACCGAGAACCAGCCCATCAGAACCACAGAGAACCACTGAGAACCCAACCATCAGAACCAAAGAGAACCACAGAGAACCACCGAGAACCCGCCCATCAGAACCACAGAGAACCACTGAGAACCCAACCATCAGAACCACAGAGAACCCAACCATCAGAACCACAGAGAACCACAGAGAACCACCGAGAACCCGCCCATCAGAACCACCGAGAACCACCGAGAACCCGCCCATCAAGAACCACCGAGAACCCCGCCCATCAGAACCACAAAAGAACCACCGAGAACCCGACCATCGGAACCACCGAGAACCACCGAGAACCAGCCCATCAGAACCACAGAGAACCACCGAGAACCCGACCATCAGAACCACAGAGAACCACCAAGAACCACGAGAAACCAGCCCATCAGAACCACCAGAGAACCACTTAGAACCTAACCATCAGAACCACAGAACCACCGAGAACCCACCCATCAGAACCACGAGAACCACCGAGAACCCACCCATCAGAACCACCGAGAACCACCGAGAACCAGACCATCAGAACCACCAGAACCAGAGAACCACCGAGAACCAGCCCATCAGAACCACAGAGAACCACCCGAGAAACCACCCATCAGAACCACTGAGAACCACCGAGAACCCGAACCATTCAGAAACCACCGAGAACCACCGAGAACAGCCCATCAGAAACCACAGAGAACCACTGAGAACCACCAAGAACCCAACCATCAGAACCACAGAGAACCACCGAGAACCCACCCATCAGACCACCGAGAACCGCCTCAGAACCACCGAGAACCCAGCCCACTCAGAAACCACGAGAACCACTGAGAAACCATCAGAACCACAGAGAACCACTGAGAACCCAACCATCAGAACCACAGAGAACCACAGAGAACCCGACCATCAGAACCACCGAGAACCAGCCCATCAGAACCACAGAGAACCACCGAGAACCCGACCATTAGAACCACAGAGAACCACCGAGAACCCACCCATCAGAACCACAAAGAACCACCGAGAACCCGACCATCGGAACCACCAAGAACCACCGAGAACCAGCCCATCAGAACCACAGAGAACCACCGAGAACCCGACCATCAGAACCACAGAGAACCACAAAGAACCACCGAGAACCAGCCCATCAGAACCACAGAGAACCACTTAGAACCCAACCATCAGAACCACTGAGAACCCACCCATCAGAACCACAAAGAACCACCGAGAACCCAACCATCAGAACCACAGAGAACCACCGAGAACCACCGAGAACCACTGAGAACCACTGAGAACCCACCCATCAGAAAACCAGAACCACACACTCAAAACACGAGAACCCAACCATCAGAACCACAGAGAACCACCGAGAACCCACCCATCAGAACCACAAAGAACCACCAAGAACCCGACCATCGGAACCACCGAGAACCACCGAGAACCACCGAGAACCACCGAGAACCAGCCCATCAGAACCACAGAGAACCACCGAGAACCCACCCATCAGAACCACTGAGAACCACCGAGAACCCGACCATCAGAACCACCGAGAACCACCGAGAACCAGCCCATCAGAACCACAGAGAACCACCGAGAACCCGACCATCAGAACCACAGAGAACCACCAAGAACCACCGAGAACCAGCCCATCAGAACCACAGAGAACCACTGAGAACCCAACCATCAGAACCACAGAGAACCACAGAGAACCACCGAGAACCACCGAGAACCCGCCCATCAGAACCACCGAGAACCACCGAGAACCCGCCCATCAGAACCACCGAGAACCCGCCCATCAGAACCACAAAGAACCACCGAGAACCCGACCATCGGAACCACCGAGAACCACCGAGAACCAGCCCATCAGAACCACAGAGAACCACCGAGAACCCGACCATCAGAACCACAGAGAACCACCAAGAACCACCGAGAACCAGCCCATCAGAACCACAGAGAACCACTGAGAACCCAACCATCAGAACCAAAGAGAACCACAGAGAACCACCGAGAACCCGCCCATCAGAACCACAGAGAACCACTGAGAACCCAACCATCAGAACCACAGGAGAACCCAACCATCAGAACCACAGAGAACCACAGAGAACCACCGAGAACCCACCCATCAGAACCACAAAGAACCACCGAGAACCCGCCCATCAGAACCACCGAGAACCACCGAGAACCCGCCCATCAGAACCACCGAGAACCCGCCCATCAGAACCACAAAGAACCACCGAGAACCACCGAGAACCCGCCCATCAGAACCACAGAGAACCACCGAGAACCTGACCATCAGAACCACAGAGAACCACCAAGAACCACCGAGAACCAGCCCATCAGAACCACAGAGAACCACCGAGAACCCACCCATCAGAACCACCGAGAACCACCGAGAACCCGACCATCGGAACCACCGAGAACCACCGAGAACCACCGAGAACCAGCCCATCAGAACCACAGAGAACCACCGAGAACCCACCCATCAGAACCACTGAGAACCACCGAGAACCCGACCATCAGAACCACCGAGAACCACCGAGAACCAGCCCATCAGAACCACAGAGAACCACTGAGAACCACCAAGAACCCAACCATCAGAACCACAGAGAACCACCGAGAACCCACCCATCAGAACCACAGAGAACCACCGAGAACCACTGAGAACCACCGAGAACCCGCCCATCAGAACCACCGAGAACCACTGAGAACCCACCCATCAGAACCACTGAGAACCCAACCATCAGAACCACCAAGAACCACAGAGAACCAGCCCATCAGAACCACCGAGAACCACAGAGAACCCAACCATCAGAACCACCGAGAACCAGCAAGAACCCGACCATCAGAACCACCGAGAGCCACCGAGAACCACCTCATCCGAACCACTGAGAACCACACTCTCAGAACAGGTGGACCGACCAATCAGAACACCAGAACCGTACACTCAGAACACAAGAACCCACACTCAAAATACAACAGAACACAACGGAACTAAACACCACACACTCAGAACACAAGAACCGACTGATCAGAACATGAGAACTGACCACTCAGACCTCAACAGAAAACAAAGCAACCAAGAACCACACGCTCAGAACACAAGAACCATACACCCAGAACACGAGAACCCACCAATCAGAACACCAGAACCACATAACACAACAACCGAGAACCGACCACTCAGAACCACCAAGAACCACAGAAAACCAGCTCATCAGGACCACTGAGAACCCCACGGATCAGAACCATAGAGAACCATCGAGAACCCACCCATCAGAACCACCAACAACCACCTCATCAGAACCACAGAGAACCCACCCATCAGCACCACCAAGACCCACCGAGAACCACCGAGAACCCACCCACCAGAACCACCGAGAACCCACCCACCAGAACCACCGAGAACCACAGAGAACCCACCCATCAGAACCACCAAGAACCACCGAGAACCACCGAGAACCCACCCACCAGAACCACCGAGAACCACCGAGAACCCACCCACCAGAACCACCGAGAACCACAGAGAACCCACCCATCAGAACCACCAAGAACCACCGAGAACCACCGAGAACCCACCCACCAGAACCACCGAGAACCCACCCACCAGAACCACCGAGAACCATCGAGAACCCACCCATCAGAACCACCGAGAACCACCGAGAACCCACCCACCAGAACCATCACAACCACCAAGAACCACCAAGAACCACCGAGAACCCACCCACCAGAACCACTGAGAACCCACCCACCAGAACCACCGAGAACCACCAAGAACCACCGAGAACCACTGAGAACCACCGAAAACCCACTCATCAGAACCACCGAGAACCACACACTCAGAACATGAGAACCGCACACTCAGAACATGAGAACCAACTGATTAGAACACAACGGAATGAAGAACCACACACTCAGAATACGACGGAACACAATGGAACCAAGAATCACACACTCAGAACACAAGAACCGACCGATCAGAACATGAGAACCACACAACAACCGAGAACCGACCGCTCAGAATCCCAAATATTTCAGCCGCCGTAACCTCGCGCCTGAACGACCCGGCGGTGGTTCTTCGGCGGGCGGAGACTCACTGGTCTTTGTCGAGGACGCAGAACGAGTGGAGGAACGGGAAGTGGGCGGCGACGTTCTCGAAGTCCTGCTGCGAGATGAAGCCGTCTCTGTCCAGGTCGTAGCTCCTGAAGACCGACTGCACCACCTTCCGGATGTGTTTGTTCACCAGGGACGGGTTCGGCTTGGAGACCAAACCCTGAGCCCAGTCCAGAGGAACCAGCGGTCTGGACGGGGACGAGACCGGGGACGAGACCGGGGACGAGACCGGGGACGAGACCGGGGACGAGACCGAGGACGAGACCGAGGACGAGACCGAGGACGAGACCGAGGACGAGACCGGGGACGAGGGCTGAGGGAGGAGGAGGAGGAAGTGATTATTCAAACATCTGTCTTCGTCCTCGTCTGATGAGGTTTAAAGTTCTCACCTGGGACTTTCTGGGCTCCCTCAGCAGAGACAACTCATAGATCTCATCCTCCGAGTGACACAGGTCCAGAGACAACTGCAGAGACCAGGGTTAGACCAGGACTAAACCAGGACTAAACCAGGACTGAACCAGGACTGAACCAGGACTAAACCAGGACTAAACCAGGACTAAACCAGGACTAAGAACCAGGACTAAACCAGGACTAAACCAGGACTAAACCAGGACTAAACCAGGACTAAACCAGGACTAAACCAGGACTAAACCAGGACTAAACCAGGACTAAACCAGATCTAAACCAGGACTGAACCAAGATTAAACCAGGACTAAACCAGGACTAAACCAGGACTAGACCAGGACTAAACCAGGACTAAACCAGGACTAAACCAGGACTAAACTAGGACTAAACCAGATCTAAACCAGGACTAAACCAGGACTAAACCAGGACTAAACTAGGACTAAACCAGATCTAAACCAGGACTAAACCAGGACTAAACTAGGACTAAACCAGGACTAAACCAGGACTAAACCAGGACTAAACTAGGACTAAACCAGATCTAAACCAGGACTACACCAGGACTACACCAGGACTAAACCAGGACTAAACTAGGACTAAACCAGATCTAAACCAGGACTAAACCAGGACTAAACCAGGACTAGACCAGGACTGAACCAGGACTGAACCAGGACTAAACCAGGACCAAACCAGGACCGAACCAGGACCAAACCAGGACTAAACCAGGACTAAACTAGGACTAAACCAGTACTAAACCAGGACTAAACCAGGACTAAACCAGGACTAAATCAGGACTAAACCAGATCTAAACCAGGTCTAAACCAGGTCTAGAGTGGTCCGGAGCCGGGTCTGACCGTGAGCAGGTGCAGCAGGTCCGGGTCGGTCTCGAGTCCCGGGGAGGAGCTCTGGAGGGTCATGAGCTCGTTGAGGGTCACGTACAGGTGCTGCATCTTCCCCAGGTGGATCATGTGACCTTCCTCCGTCCAATCAGGGAGCAGCACGTGCACGGCGATCAGGTCCTTCAGGTGCACGCCCAGGATCGGGATCTTCGGACCGCGGCATTCCGAGAACGACTTCCTGTACGCGCCGTAGTTATTCCGAGACGAGACGAGCTCGGTGAGATCGGACCAAGTCTGAGGGAGAGAAGACCTGAGTTAGTCCTGGTTTAGTCCTGGTTTAATCCTGGTTTAGTTCTGGTTTAGTCCTGGTTTAGTCCTGGTTTAGTCCTGGTTTAGTCCTGGTTTAGTCCTGGTTCAGTTTTGGTTTAGTCCTGGTTCGGTCCTGGTTTGGTCCTGGTTTAGTCCTGGTTTAGTCCTGGTTCGGTCCTGGTTTGGTCCTGGTTTAGTCTGGTTCACCTTGAGGACTTCTGGGGGCAGGTGGGAGTGTGTTTCTCGGAGCCTGCAGATGGCGCTGTGACTCAGTCCTCCCACCACGGCCATCAGAGAGTTAAAGTTCTGAAGAAACAGCAACTTCTGAAAAACAAATGGACCTGGTCAAACAGAAGAAACAACAAGACCAAAACTTCAAGTGAATAAATCTGATATAAAAATGTATTGAACAGATACATATGTACTCGAGTTTATCAAACTGTTGACCTTTTTTCTGTTCCATTTTTGGTTGTAAAGTTCCATCTGTTTTAAACAAACCATGAATGAAACATGGAACAAAAATTATTTCCCAAATTTCAAAGACCTGAAAATCATGTAAATAAATGTTTGTATTTCATCATATCTTGTGTTATTCCATCTTTGAACTGTTGATGAAGGGACAGGATTTAAAGAAAAAAATATTTAAAATGATAAAAATGTTCTTGGAAGGACTGACATATTTTATAGAAATAGTTTCTTTCATTTTGAAGTAATATTAAAGTTTTCAGAAGAAAAAAGTGACAAATGATGTAAAATCCTGCACCTTCTACTTGTTTGTACAATTTTCCCTCCGTTACTTTTCCCTCCGTTACCATGAACTTTCTTAATAAAAAATCTCATGAGTCAAAAAGTCAGAGGTTTTTCAACCTAATCTTGTACCATATGGTAGAAAACTATATGAAGCAAATATTCAAACCAGTTTGTTAAGGATATGGAAGTGAGAACCAAGAGTTATCACTGTTTGGATTTATTGACCAAAAAGTGCTGCATATTTCATTCCCTCCATTACCAACATGAGTTTTTTAATTTTTTTGTCAACAACTTGAAAGAATCTCACAGGTTTAACTTGACCCTGTTGGAGTGTAACTCTTTCCTACATTCTGATACTTTACTTATTTCAATAGTTCCTCTAGTTTCTGAATAAGAGACATTTGAATGTCAAAAATCTGACCCTGTTTCCTCCATTAACACTTGACTGAACCCAAATAAACAAACGAGTGTCAGAGCCGCACAGACCTGCAGGGGGCAGCACCTGCAGTTAGTCTCACCTGTGGGTTTGTGTTTGTGACCTCGAGGGTCTGATATAATACAGATCAAACAGAGCTGGAGGAGCCGAGGTAAAAGCCACGATGTTAAAATCCACAGTGAATCTTCAGTTGTTTATAAAACTTAAATTAAATTGTGTTTGTTTAGGCGACGTTTTTCATATTTACAGACAGCGGGTCGGACTAACGACACTGAGAAAGAACCAAAAGTGTCTCCTAAACCGACACATTCACGACACTCTCAGATCACAAGTCTGACTTAAAACAATCGTCTGTAAAAATAATATATAATCCAACATGTTCACACTTTGATAAAAACATCTGATAAATATTTGATTTAAACATTCGCCGTCGTGTCCCTGAACGCAGCGACTCTGGGGGTGTGTCCAGGGGCACCACGGCAGCACATACTAGGACATTTGTGTGTGTTTTTGACCTCTGACCTGTGACCTCTGACCCGTGACCTGTGACCTCTGTGACCCTGTGACCTCTGACCTGTGCCACGTGGATGAACTTGGTGACGACGGCGGCTCTGCTCTGTGGGGTGAGTTTGCTCAGGACCATCAGCTGCACCCAGTGGGAGAGGCCGTTGAACAGAGCGATGGAACGTTCCAGAGTCGGGTTCTGCACCAGGTGCCCGTGCACCACGTAACTCTGATAATCTGGAAACTACACACGGTAACACTTTATAATAACTACACCTTATTTAGCCTTAATAAAGCATGAACAAAGGCTTAATTAATAATGAACAAAGACTTAATTAATAATGATTCACGCTTAGTAACTACTTCATTACTGCCTTAATTAGCACTGGCACTTAATTTGCCTGTGTTGTAAATAGTTACTCATAATTATTTCATACTTAATTACTCATGAACTAACCATTTATTAATCATTAGTAAACTATGAGAGAATGATTTACTAATAATGTAATGCAATGATCGTTCAGGCAGCTGTTCTCTGTTAAGTCTTTTTGAGCTTTTCTAAAGTAAAGATGAATTATCATTTATTAAACATTTACTAAGCGTGAATCATTATTAATTAAGTCTTTGTTCATGCTTTATTAAGGCTAAGTAAGGTGTAGTTATTATAAAGTGTTACCACACACACACACAGTCACACAAACACACACAGTTAGTCCTGGTCTTAGTTCTGGACCAGGTCTTAGTCCAGGTCTTAGTCCTGGTCCTCACAGAGACCCGGCTCAGGGCTTTGAGCTCCATGAAGGTCAGATGTTCTGTCAGCTCTGAGGCCTCCAGGTGGTTTAGTCCTGTTTTAGTCCTGGTCCTGGTTTAATCCTGGTCTAGTACTGGTCTCGTCCTGGTCCTGGTCCTGGTCTTAGTCGTGGTCCTCACAGAGATGCGGCGCAGGGCTTTGAGCTCGATGAAGGTCAGATGTTCTGCCAGCTCTGAGGGCTCCAGGTGGTCGAAGAGCAGCGAGGTCTTCCCCTTCTTCACGCTCCTCCTCCGCTGCGTCACCCTCCTCATCCAATCAAACGACGGGCTGTGGGGAGGGGGCGGGGACACGTACTCAGAGAAAGAGCGACTAAACACCTGACTCCACCCACAACCACCAACACAACCACGTGTGAACGAGAGCGGCTGGAGTGGGCGGGGCCTGGAGGACTTAAAGGGACAGTTCAGAATTTTGGACATAGTTCCTCATTTCCTCATGGTCCAGAGGGTTGGAGACGTGTGGAGACACTTTTTGAAATATTCCGTCCAGTTCTTGTATTTTAGAAGTAAATCCAGCCTTGTATTTGAAGGATTTCGGTCTGAGCAGCAGTGAGTTTTTCTTCCTGATAAAAGCTCGGCGGCGGTGGACTGATATATGAGAAAATAGTCCCTCAACAAGCGACGATTCACACGACACAAGGTTATTTTTATTTCAAACATTATTCTATGTGTGAAGAATCCCTCAGTCGTTCAGGTAAAATCCACGTCGAGGAGAAAATTCAGTTTGTCGACTGGAAAAAAGTGAGTTTGGTTGAAGACGTTTCTCAGCTCGTCCAAGTTGCTTCTTCAGTTCTGTCAGACGCTGGTGACACTTCCTTATATCTACAGGAGGAGCTAACTACTCTGAAACTCCTCTGGAACTAACACACACTTGTTTACAGTTTGTGTTTGTTAGTTGGGTCTGTTGATCTGTACAGGGTGTGGGTCTAATGAACAGAATAATTCATGTCCATAATGGAGCTTCCACACCTCTGGTCCTGACCTGACTCCACCTGTTCTTCTTGTTTGTTTTGATTTCAGTTTGAGGATGGACGTGTGAACAGGAGACTGATGGAGTCTGAGTCCATTTCTGTTTAAAGAAGGATTCTCGTTCTTAACAAAACGGCTTCTTTCACTCTCCTCTCAAACCAATTCTTTTCTCTGGCTCAGATCTGTTCCTCTCTGTCCTCAAACGAGCGGCCAGTGGTTTTTAAGTGGAGATGAACAGCAGACTGAGGTCCTGTGTTGTTCTCTCGTCTGTGTTGGTTCATCCTCTTGTGAAGTGTCTGTTTAGTTTCTCCAGTGTAGCTTCACTTCAGTCTTCAGAAGAAGCAGCTTGGATGAGCTGCGAAACATCTTCAACCAAACTAACTTTTGTCCAGTCGACAAAGTCTCCGTTCAGACTGCAGGACTTGATGCTCAATTCAAATTTTTTGGTGAAATCTGATGTTTTTTCGAGGTCGTTCACATTTCCAGTTAAATGTGACTTGTATGTGACTCCAGTGTGAACATTAAACGGTCCAAAAGTGTCCCACATGTGACACTGGAGACACGACGACGTCAACCGCAGCGAGCGTCTCTGTGTTTACACAAGTTGAACAAACATGGACGCAGCATCGAGCACCTGGAGATTTTAAAGTTCCTCTCGTACCGGAGCCACAACATGAACAACTGACTTGTTTTAAGGAGGAGATTGAGAAGGAGAAGGAGCAGGTTTTTGGTGGTGGTGTTTTGTGGTGAGTGGAGATGTGCTTCACTTCAGTCACATGGATCATGAACAGTTTTCTCTACTTCAGTGCAGAATAGTGACGTTTGTGTCTTGTTGATGACGTGTAGGTGGATGAATGTGACCTGACTGTTCACACTCAAGTCACATGTTAAAGATCAGATATGGATCAGTTTCAGGAGCACAGATCCAAGTGTCCTGGTCACATGTGAAAACATCACATCTGTGTGGTTCAGACATTAAAAGATCAGATACAGGAACATAGAGACAAAACATCAGATCTGAGTCACTTCAGGTGCATCTGAACGCAGCCAAACTGAATTTTCTCCTCGCCGTTATTCTGTCGACACAAACGTTCACATGGACAGTCTGGTCTGGTGGAATAACAGATTTGTTTTGTGTGTTTTGTGGAGTGGGTGAGACTGTTTTTACCTTTGCAAATACAAGAACTGGATGGAATATTTCAAAAAGTGTCTCCACACGTCTCCAACTCTCTGGACCATAAAGAAATGAGGCTCTATGTCCAAAATTCTGAACTGTTCCTTTTTAAGACGGGAGGAGAATCGAGGTCTGGAGGTGAAAGGAACAGTGTGGTCGGTCTTAAGGTTTTATATTTCTGCAGTGACTCGTCGCTCTCTGTCGCCGTCGTCTTGTCGTGCTCGTTTTTGATTTATGGATCTACGTCGAGGTTTATGCGCCGCCAAATAACTCACCTCCACAACACCAGGAGGCCACGATTTAAAACTGAAGTTCGTGTGTCGGTTTGATGCAAAGTTATAAAATTTTGGAGGTGCACATCGGTCGACGCAGACGATTTGAGGCACGACCATAAATTAGGCGTAACAGGTGTTTCGACGTCAGACTCCGCCCCTGCAGAAACACCTGTCTGTGCTCAGAGCAGTGCTGTGTGATGTCACGTAGTACTTGAAGTCACAGGGAGCAGCACACGCTCACACTCAAAACTGCAAATGGAACGAGTTTGCTCTAAAATTGTCCAAACATTTTAGAAGCAGTTTAGAAGCATAAAGCGAGAGGGTTTAGTGTTCAGTGTTTAGTGTTTCTCCACAGACTCGAACAGAAGCTCCAAATGAAGCTCATCGAGGGCAGCAGTTATAGGAGTGATCCAGTTTCATGTTTGGAATCGTGATCGCGAGTATCACAGCAACCAAAGAGCCAATCAGGAGCGAGGCTGCTGAAGGTCACGCCCCTTCTGT